TTCATAATACCAGCCTAGTTCGGCAAGGGTGGAAACTGGACTTTTATAGTCAGTTAACTCACTTGCCTCGGGAAGATGATTATGTTCATGATGTCCATGGTGCTTTAAAAATATGTTGTTTTTACATAGGCACTTCACGCCATGATATGAGTGTATTCCGTCTGCTTTAGTAAACCTACACATGTAAACACTTACAAATCAACTGTGCAAGAAAACAGTGATTTATCAATGAACGTATTTTTTGTGGAACTTTTGATGGTGAGGAATGATCCGTTTACAAAAAAGTAAATAAACTGATCACTCCTCTTGCTGGGCTGATATTACATAACATACATTTCACCTCACTTCAAACCTGGATTCAGTTGAAATAATTACCCCAGACACAAGACATGCCAGATGGGAACCTTTGTCAGGTAATCTGAGAAGAGCTACAACTAACTATACCTGTAATAGGTTCATTAACTGAGCAAAGACACAGGTGTAGGGTTATGCCAGAAAACGTGGATTATAACAAGAGAAAGCAATCGTATTATCCGCGCAATCCAAAATCCGAAAATGCTTTCACTGCTGGGATACCATTTTTTAAACTATAAAAATAAACTGACGGCCAAAAGAAACGTTACCAACGATATTTCAAGGATAATATATGACCAACACAAATTGAAGCAGCAATCACAATTGTATTGTAGAAATTCATCATTCAGAACCGTAACATTACTAATTCAACAACAAAGTCCTTGACCTCCAACAGTGACATTTCTTGACAATGGGTCATTCGTCCAGTATTCGATCAACAACACTGGTTAAAACCAGACCGTTCAATACGGGATATGACCTCCGTGAGCGGCAATGCATCTTCGAATGCGGCGTCGAACTGAGCAGACAAGCGTCCTCACGTCGACCTCAGGTATCCTATTCCATTCCTCACGGAGGGCAACGATCAACGCTTGTCTCGTGAAGGGAGGATGTTGACGTTTCCGAAGACGACGCCCCAGCTGGTCCCAGAGATGTTCTGTGGGTGACAGATCTGGTGATCGAGCTGGCCACGGCAGGACAGTCACGTTGTTGGCGTTGAGGAAGTCTCTAGTAATACGGGCTTTATGGGGTGTGGCGTTATCTTGTTGGAACACCGTCCGTTGTTGACGCTGGATGAAAGGAAGAACCACTGGCCGTAAGATATTGTCAGTGTAGCGTTGTGCTGTCTGATTGCCTTCGATGATCAGAAGTTCCGTCTTCTCGTACCCGCAAATGCCGCCCCAGACCATCACACTTCCGCCCCCGTAAGGTTCAACCTCCTGGACACAACAAGAAGCCGTACGTTCACCACGTCGTCGATAAACTCGCGTCTGCCCATCAGGTTTGAAGAGCTGGAAGCTGCTCTCGTCACTAAACAGCACTCGCCGCCAGTCCCTTTGTTGACATCGCTGAGTTTGCCTGCATCACGTCAATCTGGCACGTCGATGTTGACGGGTCAAGGTCATGCCTTTGAAAGGGCGATAGGCCGGAGACCATAATGTCGTAGTCGTCTGGTCACTGTTTGTCTGCTGACCGGATGTCCTAAGCTGTTGGCAGCTGATGACGTCACAGTAAGAAATCTGTTCCTCGGATGAAGTACCCCTTCAAAAGCGGTCATCCCTCGGGGTCGTGACCTTTGGTCTGCAACTCCATGGTCTGTCTGCGGTTCTGCCAGTCTGTCGGAGACGTGCGACCAGTCTGGTAATGGTCATCTTGGAGCAGTTCATGTTAATGGCAACCGCTCTCTGTGTCGCTCCCATCTGCAGCATACCCATGGCTCTCTCCCTCTGGACAGCGGTCAGCCTTGGCATGTTCGTTGGTGTTAATCATTGCAGCCATTGATAGGGAACAGATCCGTGCGTAATTTATACCCGGGATTGCACGATAATTTGGAAAAGAATGTTTATAAAAAATGCTGAAAAACACCAATATTTCCCAAAATCCGTAAAGCACGTGTAAAGAACGACAGAGAACATGAGGCCGGATTCGTGAAATGTGACTGTTTTTAAACAGGTTGGCATCTTTGTTTTAAAGTGGCAAATCAGTTAATGTTGGTAACGTTTCTTTTGGCCCTCAGTTTATAACCATCTGGGGTATTTCCAAATAACGACATCCGATGAGCTTCCATTGTTCTCTTTGTCCGTTTGTTAAGGCTGACGAAATTAATTAACATGTGTCTGAGATTCAGAGATTACAGGTAACCAATCAGTGTTCTTGAACACGGTAGTCCAGTCTCTTGTCACGCTCAGTTGCGTCAGCAAGCAAATCGGCAGATAGTGAGCCCCAGCTGGCAGTGTTAGACAGCCGAGATGAAGATTAGTGCCCCTTTAAACCTACAAGCCGGGATATACCTGAAATATAAATACTGTTGAAAACAGTGTTAAGCCAAACTCACTCACTTATTCAGAGCCATGCCGGTCCCCACGGCTGGATATTGGGGGTACTTTTCCAGTGTAAGTATGCCTGTCATTTGGATGTTAAGGCCGCAATAAATTAATAGTTACAGTTTGATTGATTTTTTAAAAACATGGGAGACAGGAGACATTTAAATTAAACGTTTTATTTTGTTCTTATCGACCTACTTTAGGCATATGTGTACAATTACTGTCGACGGGTGCGATTCACATGCATCATGTGTGTTCAGTAGGGCTACGTGTACGGAGTATTTTATCAGGTAAAGAAAGTTTGAACAGTCATATTAACAATTCTTCTATTTCTAGGAATTTGAGAGCATTAGAATAATGTAAGGCAAGATGTTTTGTTGTCAGGCGGGAGCGGATGAAAATCAATAAATTAAAGTAGCGAATATGGTATCGTATAAAAAAACAACAACAAAAAACATCGGACAGTATCATTTTATCCGAATGCTACAAATTGGTCTGTGAGAATTTTATTTTAATGAATATTCTAGCCGTGTGTAAAATTGCCTCATGGATTGTGATTAATTCTGTAACTGACAGTGTAGCCGCGAATAGCTGCAATACTGCTGATGCGGCTTTAAGCAATATTACTCACTCACTCACTGACGGTGATAGTTTTGTTTCCAGCTTTCGGACACATTAATGTTTTCACTATCATTGGACATTCATGCACACAATTTCTTTTGGGAAATTATATTGAGCATGTTGAGGATTTTATTATAAAGTACATAGGAAACTGTAACAACGGGAGATGACTTTGTGTTTACGATCATGTGTTTTCGGTTTTGTAGACAATTTAGGTCCAATGTAGTGGTGAAATAATGTGTAATTAGAAACGACAGTTGTACATATTTCAAACAACGATTTTAAATAGATTTGTTGGAGAAATATGGGGTGATCTTAACATTCCATCTCTGCCGTTTGAAAGTTGCTCCATATCAAATATCTCACATTTGTACAACATTGCTCCCAATCTGATAATTTTGTAAGCTGACGATTTGAACTGACTGTAAATAGTATATTGGCTGGCAACATTCTCCAACTTCTCACCATAACGAACCTACCTTCCTCGTGTTGTCCATGTATACAGTGTGTATGTGTTAAACTGTTGTCTTCCACACCCTCTTGCACAATGTTACGAAACTGGCAGAGTGTGGCGACCCGCTAGGCAGCTGATGACAAGGAAACGACCGCTTAAGACCACGTCGAACAAAGGCCCCACTATACATGTATATAGTATATAGATGATGATCTGGCTGACAACATTCTCCAACAACTCACCATGACAAACCTACCTTCCCTGTGCTCTATAATATACAGTGTGCATGTTTTAAACTGTTGTATGACATCAGACTGTTGAATAAGATTACAACGAGACGGTTGGGAACAACGAATACTAAACATTCTACAGAAGTAACATTCCGAGTGACATAACGTACACTGTGAAAATCGGCCATAGAACAAGACCGTGAAGATATTTTATATCATTATCGGTTATTGTACTAGTAACCGCCTGTGGTCTAGTTCTAGAGCGTCCGCCCGGAGAGCGGAAGGTCCGGGTGGTTCGCTCCCCGGCCGCGTCATACCAAAAGACGTTAAAATATGGTACTTGTTGTTACCCTGTGTCTGGCGCTCGGCATTAAGGGGCTAAAACAAGGACAGGTCGGCTCGGAGTCAGTATACTGTGTCTGAGTGGGGTATTCATGTTAAACTGCGGCATGGTATTTCAGTGAGCTAGCACTATAAATCGGCATCACACACACACGTACATGCACGTCGCTATATAAGTGCTATAATCTTGGACGCGACGTTAAACCCCATTTCACCTCGCCTCACTTACTGTACTAGTATACCCATTCATATTGCAAAATTAATCGAGTAAAATGTAACTGAAGAAAGATTTTTACGTTAAATAATCTCGTCTAGACCTGACAATTCAGTGATTCACATTTTGACTATCAATCCAACGAAATGATACGATGACATTCAATCAACCAATTCCCCGGTCCTGTCCACCCAATCCATTTAGTCGCCTCCTAAACGAACATAGGCTGATCTATATTCGTGATGGTGTTACTATATAACAGTACCAACGATCGAGAAGAATGTGAATCAGTTGACTTGCGACCTTACCGCACTGTGGAAGTTTAAGACCGTCATATGCGTTTGTTTATCGCCGCTGTCGACATACTCCTACTAATCTTCCACATCCTCTTGCACAATGTTACTGGCAGAGTGTGGCGACCCGCTAGGCAGCTGATGACAAGGAGACGACTGCTTAAGACCACGTCGAACACGGGCCCCGAAAGGCTTAAAAGATGTCGTATAGTCCTCATAGAGCTCCAATAGAGGTGTGTTTAATAGAGGCTGATTATTAATCAGCCGTGACTGGCACATGTGCTTCGTGAACCTGCGGAGGTACATGTATATTCACACAATGCACCCAGACAGTAAACAGTCAGGTCGTGGTGGTCCACTGTCACTATCAGTGTACAAGTTTAACCTAGTTACCCTTTTTACTTTACAGTAAAACAATAAAGGTTACACATATCAATCGGAACCTACCTGGACGAAATGACAGCGACGCCCAACATGCTGCAGGCGATGCACCTCGACCGGTTGTGATGATCAAAGGTAGTACTGCAGGTGATGCACCTCGACCGGTTGTGATGATCAAATGCTTTCAGGATGTATACGTACTTTGTCACGCTGCTCGTGATACAACGTGACCGCTCTCTCTGTACAAAGAGGTAAACACAAAGGGCTTTTTGTGGTGACGAGGCGTTGGTACATTTCGCAATATTATACGCGCTTATGACGATGTATGTTTCCATGACGATACGTTTAGTTAATAAAGAAAAAATGGAAATATTGCTCTACATGTCTTTTTGAATGCTTGATCAAGACCTTGAATAGTGTAACCCCGATTAAAGAACCTTTAGCTGATATTGATGTGATTAGTTGATATTGATGGGATGGGTAAAGGTCTATGTAGAGCAACACAGTTCTCTGTAGAAACATGCTGAGGCCTATTAATGGCGGACTAGGTGAGGTGAGGAGATCATAAAAAGAGTCAATGAGTTAACGCGGCTTTTAAGATTAGTCCAGTTGCATCACAGCGTGTCAGTTTCATGTGGGAGGAAAGACCGAAGTGATGCAGGTTTTAGATGTTTACCATTTCACATTACATTACTGGACAGTACCATTGGGACAACATACTGACACCCTGTGTTGCCCCTTGGCGTGTTGGTCGACGTTTTGTCTCTCAGTGCTCACCGTGAACGTAACGTCAATGTTCACCCCCATCATCACAACATCCATAGAATGCCATGGTCCGCAATCAGCCGAGACCTTTTCCCCGTTGAACTTGTATTGGCCATGATAGGGATACGTATGCCTTAACGTCACTGGCCGCCGACCACGTCGGGTCATCTTGACCAGGCACTGCAGAAAGAGTGGGACAGACGCCCTTAAATCGTCATTGGGAGATTCAAATGCAGTATGGCTCGTCGGGTGAATGAAATGTTTGACACATCGTGGCGGTATTACGCACTACTCATCCAAAAACGTCAACTTTGAAATTTCCAATCTATCCCTATCGTCCTTCAAAATCGTTGGCGGTCACAACATCTACTGTTATACTTTATCACCGGTTGTAATGTGTTCCAAATTCGTTCATTATTATCATACAACTATAACTAGAATATAAGACCTCTTCGAATTTGGGAACGTTTAAGATATTTCTGAGTATATACGAAACATACTCACCTCATGTTTTTTTCAATTCCTTTTCATGACTTGCAGCACATGTTCCAGTGTTTTTTTGTGTTTTTGACACCGCACTCAGCAATGTTCCAGCTGCATGACCAGTGTCATGGTGACATCTCATTTAGTTCGGTCACTGATCATGACTGTCAGCATGCATAATGTACGGAGTTACGTCCCTTGGCCCGTCGAGGACAAGCAAATCACGAGTGTGGCGAATCTCAAACACAAGTAGGTAGTGGCAACGTCATAGTAATTACGAAAACACCATACATGTAAGTCATTATGTTTATTACAAAATATAATAGTAGAGGTAGCAGTAGTTATTGTAGCCGTAGTAGTAGGAGATGCTGTGGTCGCAGAAATAGTAGACTTAGTAGTAATAGGACGAGAAAGAGGAGTAAAACCTAGTAGTAGTGCTTGGAGTAGAAGTTGTAGTAACAGTAGCAGTAGGAGTAGTTGTAGCAATAGTAGTTGTAGGGGTGAAAGGAAGAAGTGTAGAAGTTGTAGTAACAGTAGCAGTTGGAGTAGAATATGTAGTAACAACAGCAGCAGCAGTAGTAGTAGTAGTAGTAGTAGTTGTTGTTGTAACAGTAGCAGTAGTTGTAGGGGTAGGAGGAAGAAGTTACAGTAACAACAGCAGTTGACAAGCGGGTGGTTACAACGTTATAGTAATATATAAAACACGATGTGTGCACGTCATTATGTGTATTACACAGTTTATGTGAAGCTAAGCTTGTTTACGTAAACAACCAGCATTATGAGAATGTCGTGAAATAGGAAATAGAAGGCATGCCATCGAAAAGAGATCTGAATAGATAACCTCATTTGCTTAGTCACTGGATCTCATTACAGGTATATCGAGTTTATCGTATCTCTTCACTAAGCAAGAACACTGAAGATGGAAATGATTGTTATCAGAACAAAGTGATGATAACTATACTGAAATGAAAATGCACCCGTTGTAGGTTCAGTGTCAGATTCAGTAGTAGGTGTAGTAGGAGGTTCGGTAGTAGGTGTAGTAGCAGGTTCAGTAGCTGGTGAAGTAGCAGGTCCAGTAGTAGGTGAAGTAGCAGGTTCAGTAGTAGGTGTAGTGGCAGGTTCAGTAGTAGGTGTAGCAGCGATCCCCAACTCGCAATTACAGGATTCAAAGTCCAAGAGAAACTCCAGAGTCTTGGAGTTTGATCTTTCATAGAGGTAGCGCCGTCCGTGTTCCCACTCCGCTCCCTGGAAGCACGGATGTTCCCTCGCAGCCCTGACAGCAGGCACGCACTCCTGGAGACAGTCGCCACTAGCAGCACAACTGCCGGTGACGTTGATGAAGATCGTGTCGAGTGGGTTTCCAACCGATTGAACATATAAGCCTGCCCAGTCACAGGTGCTGTTGTCAGGCTTGGAGACCGCGTCGGGGGCTGTAGGGGGTGCTGAGGAGGGTGCAACGTCTTCACACTCACACGACCGTAACTTCATGAGAAACGTGACCGTGTTCTTGTATCTTAACAGTTTATAGATGTTATATTTCCATATATCGCCCTGAAAACATTTGTGCTGCTTTGTTGCCTGAATGGCGTTGTAACATGCCGGCGAACACTTCTCAAACAAGTTGCAATTGGTGTCCACAAGGCCATACAGCTGCAATAATTCGGGGTCGGTGAAAATCGTCCTCCAAGCACATCCTTCGTACGTGTCCTCAATGTCAAGCATGCAGTACGGAATACTCTTGAAGTTGGTGAGGAATGGTCTGTTGGAGTTCTGTTGAGGGTAGTAGGTGATGAAACTGTAGCACATCTCGTCGGACGTCGCAGCACCGAAAAATGTTGTCGTAGACTTCTTGGAGGATGCGAACTCACAATGCGTCCTCAGCTCGTCACCAGGTCGGATCTCAATGGGGTCACTGAATCTGTGCATAAAACATTTACAATCAACAATATCATTTATATTGTGATGACATGGTGGTGAAAATTGTATGACTGGATCACCGAAAATCAGTGGTGTTCACGGGGTGTTCGCGAAAGCAGTGTTTGGTATTTACGTCCATGTGTGCTATTAGTTTTATCCCCAACAGCGACTTACGTTTATGGTCGACGCCTTAATTTAGAGTCAGTTGGGATATCGGATCCACATCATATCAGATAGGATTTCTTGTTATGTTTTTACACATTTTTCTAAAGATACCAGAATATAATCGCCTTGTGAAGTATATCCATTGACAACAGGCATGAGTTTGGTTCAACAGTAGTAAGTTATACCACGGCTAGTAAGTTCACATTAGTGAAACCCATGAGCACAGCTCCGTACTTACAATTACAACATCTTAGGACTACCCTGATATATCAGTTATAAGTATACACTAAATATAAATTATGTTTGCTAAAGGAAAAGTAACAGATACTGTGAAAAAAGCCCGAAACAAACATTTCTCTTCTATTTTACTGATGTAACTGAGACCAACAGCAGCCATATGGTCCGGTGAACGTTACGTATATGGGGCCTTAACTTGCACGTTAAAGGGGAAACTTCCTCTGAAACGAAGACTCGTTATTCCGGATAACTGTTAAACCGGACGAATAAATTGGCACTGTACAGTCTGCATTAAGGAGGTTTCATTTCACTGTGTTAAGTTTTTATACAAATTATCTGAAAGAGTTAAATTACTAGTCATACGTGTGATCACTTACTTGTGAAATAGTGGGTTGTCATAGTTATATTTAGGGTCACTTGCAACATCTCGGACTTTGACGCCATTCCTGTACAGCTCCAAAGATTGGGAGATTCCTGATGATTTACAAATTAGCACATAAATGAGTGAGTTGGCTTTAAAGCCATTTTGAACAGTGTATCAGATGTAACAGTTATATATGTTCGCCTGATGTGGAGGGAAAGTCCCAAGTGAAGCAGGTCTCAGACGTTTGCCA